CTCACCCCAACATAAATGACAACATCCTCATGGCTACACAGATGGAGCCCCCCTCCGTTAAGCTCCCACACTCTAGATGATCCAGCATGTCCTGGGGCAGAAGTCCATACAGCTGTTCGGGCCATGCAGGGTGGAGCATGCAGGGTGGAGCAGCTGGATCTCAGTTGAGAGGCTAATGACTCTCCCATCACCTCCAGCTATGGGGAAGATCAATAGGCCTGGTCTTGAGGGTCCCTTCGAAGTGTCACAAGAGAAAGCACAGCACTCAGGTGCTCGGCAATGACTAAGTGGATAGGAATGGAGGTGAGATCCAAGGGGGCTTAAGGGGTCGAGGCCCCAGAGCAGGCAGGAATGGAGGAGAAGTAAGGAGACTCCTGTTGAAAGGCAACCTGTGGAATGGTCTTGAAGACATGGGCTGCATTCTGTGTCCACGCTTACCTCCCTCCGTTTTTGCCTCCCTCCACAGACACTTGATGCCCCGGTTATCCCCCTCTCTATAACACACACAGTGTCCTTGCCATGCAGCCTGGGGTGTAGTGCTGAAGACAGACTCCAAACCCAATGCCCCAGGCACTGTGGGTGAGACTACAGGATACTGTGGGAGGACCCAGGTCACAGAACCCACATGGGGCATTTGGAGAAGGCCCCCGAGAGGAAGTGACGTGTCAGCTGAGGCCTGATGGGGTCAGGGTGGGAATCTTTCAGAGCTAGGTATATTGGAACATTCCAGAGAGACCCAGCCATGATTTCTAGCCACGTCTGTGGCAGCACTACCCACCCAGGAGATATTTTCACTTCCGCTGCTTAGGGCGGGGGATTCCTGCAACCCATGAGGGTCCCTCCCTTCTCTCTGGCCCCGACTCTGCCATCACAGTGTAGGACTTGAGTACTGCAGGAGGTTGAGACCTCCCAGCTTGCTCTCCACTTCTCATCTCTCCTTCCAGAATCTGCTCAGCACCTCTAGTTCCAACACTTGCTTCGGTCTCTTCCAGGAACCAGTCTTTTCTGTTGCTCTCGGCTTCTAGGGGCTATTGTACGTGGACCTGACCTCTTCTTGCCCGTAACTCTTCAGAGCCTGCTCTACCTTCTGCTCACCTCCTTTGCTCATCTCCTAGTGACTTCTTCACCTCTAGTTTTCTTCCCTCCCTCCCAGACGCAGAGTCTGTATCCCAGCCTCAGCCCCTGCCTTCCATGTGTCCTGTACCTGCAACTAGTCAGGTGTTTCCCCTGCTGATTTTACACTGTATTGGACATGTCCTGCTTCCATTGAGAGCCCACAGTGAGCCCTACTGTCTGTAGACAAAGTCCAGCACTTACGAGGGCGGCAGCCATTCCCGTCTTCCCGATATCTTGCTCCTCTTCTCGCCTCTGTCAAAGACCCAGTAACACTGAGAGATTTCCTGCTTTTCTATGTTCTTGTCAACTGCTGTAGGTTCTAGGCAAATGCCCTGTTCTGCAACTGTCCACTTTCCAGACCCTCAGCGGGACCAGTCTCAACCATCTTTGTGTTTGGGAAATGACCTCTGATGTATTTTATCTTATTCATAGTTTTTTGTGGTATTATTATTTGTGTTTTTGTTGTCTGGTTTGTCTTTCAGAGACAGGGTCTCGTGTAGCCCAGGTTGGCCTTGAACTTCTGCTCCTCCAGCGTTCACTTCTCAGGTGCCATGATTACAAGCATGTGCCCATGCTCCTGGGTTTATGTGTGCTGGGGATGGAACCCGGAGCTTCACACATGCTAGACAAGCACTCTGCCAACTAGGCTACATTCCCCCACCCTCCACTTCCTTGCCTTGCACCCTTTAGAACCCTCTCAAACAAGGTCTCCTGTAGCCTAGGCTGGCTTTGCACTCCTGACCCTCCTGCCTCCAGCTCCCAAGTGCTGGGATTCTAGAGGTATGCACCACCTCACCCAATTTGTGTTTGTGTGTGTTAAGTTCTCACTGTAGCCTAGACAGATGTCTACAAACAGCAAATCTTCCTGCCTCTGTTCCCCAAGTACTGGGATTACAGCTGTGAACCACCACTGCCAGTTTTGAGTTTTGTTTAACTTTTTTGTGATGCTGGGGATTGAACCCAGGGCCTGAACATACTAGGCAAGCATTCCCTCACTGAGCTGTATCCCCAGTCCCCTCTGGTATTTTCAGTCTATGGAGACCTCTTCCTGGGGGACTCCATCGGTACCTCCCTGAGTGCTCGAAATCTTCGGGCTGGCCTTTTGGTCACGCCTGTGATTCTTCTCCTTCTGTACCTTACTCAGGTCAAGGACCCAGGTCCTTGGACCTGTGGATATGAGTTCCTTCATGCAGCTTCTCCACATTAACAGCTCAGTAAACAACTGTGGAATAAAGGCAGGAACATTGTTTCAACAAGACCAAAATAAACAGATAAGGTACAAATTCTTTTCTGATTTCACTGTTGGGAATTTCACATTAAAGTGGCACAGTCATCAGGACTGGAAACAAAGGTCCTGGCTTATCTTTTGTTTCATTTTATTCTTTGAGGCAAAGTCTTGCTATGTAGCCGGTGCTAGCCTGAAACTCTCTTAGAAGTCCTCACAGTGGTGGGACTGTGGGCATGGGCCACTATACCCGGCCACCCTGGCCACTCTGTTTTCAACCATTTCACAGTGTTTCTGAGTCGTGCACCCTGCCCACATCCTGAGGGTGACTCTGACTAGCTGGTATTGGCCTGTTATTCTCTAGATGATGATAAATCAAGCAGAATGAGCCAGGCAACACAGTTTTGACTTCTGGGAAACATGGTGTTTTTATCAGAGACCTCTATACCAAGAAATCTACAAACTTTAATATTCCTGTCTGTCTCTGCGACTTGGAGTTTCTATTCTGTCCTTGTGGCCCACGCTTCCGATTCAGTGGGCAGAGTTGACAGTGTTGATGTAAGAGTGAGCAGGCCTGCCCAGGCCTGTGGAAACTCTGCAGATAGGAAAGGGCAGGTCTCCACCAGGCCTTCAAGGCAGAGAGTGTAGTCTTGTGGGGGTGGGGCTCTCAGGGCTCCACCTTGTGACTGTGTGAGGCTGTGCTGAGACATTCAGGCCCCTTCAGGGGCTTCCTATAGTACACACACACACACACACATACACATACACACACACACACACAGAAGGGAGAAGAAAGCATTGCAGAAATCCCATGGCTCCCAAGCACGCTGCCTTTGTTGCTGTCCTGAAGAGTCAGAGAAGGCAGGAAAGCAGAAAAACCAAAGCAAGAATTGTCTCAATTCCTGGGGGAAAGTCTGGCTGGTAAGGATAGGAATGCTCCTGTGGTGGGTGGAAAGCTAGTCTCGGGATTAGTGGACATATACACACTGCAGAGAACTGGGATTGGCGAGTTCAGGGCAAGGAGAAAGGCTCTTTAGAGGATTAAGAGAAAAGTAGCAAATGCTTAAAGTGTACTAAACACAATGACAGCAGGGGTTAGTGCGTTTTGTTGTTCCTAAGACAGTGTGTTGTTGTAAAGGCCACTTGGGCCTTGAACTTGTAATCCTTCTGCCTCTGCCTCCTGAGTGCTAGGATATGGGTGTGTGCTACCGTGCCTGGCCAAGTTAGTGCTTCTTTACAAACAAAGTTCAGACACCTGGTAATTAAAAGCCCCGTGGAGCTGTGTGAATCCAACAGAACCTTCATGTACATCAGAGGCCAGTGGAGGTGATGTCTGTCTGGAGCGACAAAGTCAGAACTGTGGATCCCACTCCGGTGATGGGTGGAGGGGCAACGGTGGGTGATGGGAAAGGCTGCAGGTGTACAAAGATGCAGCTCCCAAAGGCGAAGTGGGCGGGGACTGGTCCTCCCTGGCAGCCTTGTGGCCAGCACATGGTCCTCCCTCCAAGAAGACCATAGAGAGGGCCACTGTCATCCTAAAACAGCATGACCCTGGAGGTAGAGACAGAAGCCCAGTCAGACAGGCAGGGCCTGTGTGCTCGTCCAGGGCTTGCCACTGCTCTTTCACTGTTGGTTTTAGCTGCTCTGCAATAAAACTTGAAAGAAATCCGTAGAGAGGCTTCAGATATGAGAGGCTCAGTGGCTGAGTACTGGCTGCACTTGCACAAAACTTGGGTTTAATTCTCTGTACCTACGTGGTGGCTCATAACTCTCTGTCACCCCATTTCTGTGGGATTTGATGCCCTCTTCCGGCTTTGCAGGCACCAAGCGCCCATGTGGTGCACAGTCATACATGCACACAAAATACACATAAAAATGAATTTAAAAAAATACACAGGTAAGGTAAAGAATTGTGGCCTGGAGTGGGTGCTGGGGAAATGGATCCTTGCTTAGGTCAAATGCCCGCTGAGCAAGCACTGAACCTGAGTTCAGATCCCTGCACCCACGTGAAAGCTGGATGTGGTTGATACAGCTGTAACCTTGACACTGACTGGGGACAGAGTAGAGAGACAGGCAGACTCTGGAGTTCACTGACCAGCCAGTCTAGCTAGAGGTAAGAGACACTGTTCAAAAGATAAGAAAGATGTAGAGGGGTGGTGGGAGACACTAACATCAACCCCTGGCCTCCACATGCATGTGCAAACACATCACACACATGCACGCACGCACTAGCGCGCGCATAAGAATTCTAGCCTAGACTGGCAGGTTTAATCCAAGGCAGAATGAAAGCAAAACAAAGAGTTTGTGATAAGGATAAAATGAAACAGGAGCCATGTTTGCATGCTCCCGTGGTTACATGCATGCTCCCATGGTTACATGCATGCTCCCATGGTTACATGCATGCTCCCATGGTTACATGCCTTCAGATGTTTGAAATGGGACCCTGGTCTGCTTCACCTCTGTCCAGTGTCTCCTGGAGCAGCTGCGTCCTGGGCTTGTTCCACATTCTAGGTCAGTTCTCAAAGCTCACCACCACTGAGGAACTACCCCTGAGCTTCAGTCAGGCCCTCCCACTTAGCTGGTAGAAATTTAACTAAGGAGGGAAACTTGACATTTCCTGTGGCCATGACTTTGATGAGGGTCGATTTTTGTTTTATAGGGAGAAGAAAACGACTTTGTAGACAGCACTGGAGATCCCCTTTCAGGTAAAGGATTGAGTAAGGTACCGGCATCGGCGAGCACTGGGCAGACGCATGAAAGTTAGTCAGCGAATGTGTGCATCATTAACGTGTGTTATGCATGTGGCTTTATAGCTATTCGACGATCAGCAGTTAATTTTCATTCTGTTGATTACAATTGTGTGTGTGTGCATGTGTGTGTGTATGTGTGTGTGTACCTCAGTTTTTGAGACAAACTCTCACCGGGACCTGGAGGTCTCTGATAAGGCTAAGTTTGCTGGCCAGGGATCTCCTCCCTCTGCCTTCCCAGCACTGGGACCACAGATGCATGTTACCACACCTGGCTTTTTTTTTGTTGTTGTTGTTGTTGTTTTGTTTTTTTGAGACAGGGTTTCTCTGTGTAGCTTTGTGCCTTTCCTGGAACTCACTCTGTAGACCAGGGTGACCTCGAACTCACAGACATCCGCCTGGCTCTGCCTCCTGAGTGCTCGGATTAAAGGCGTGTGCCACCAGCACCTGGCAAATGTGGCTTTCTTTTGTAGGTTCTGAGGCCCACATTTGGAGGCCTGGGCTTGCAGAGTGAGTGCTTTACTGATTGAGCTATCTCTCCAGCCCCAACTGTACTTCATTTTCAAACAATAGCCTATGCTTGGGGAACCAAAGCATAAAGCTTGCCCGGTGACTCTTCATCCTTGTTATATTTTCTGGACACAGCAGAGGATATTCCTTATTCCTGTGACCCAAACACCTCTGTGGAGCCTGGTGTCAGTACATACATTTGGGACACCATCTTTCATGAACATGTCCCGATCTCTTTGAGTGCCTGAGGGGTTCACCTATTGCATGAGTTTTGATAGTGAATTCTCGGTTGCTTCCATTCTCCTTATGATCCCTTCTGAAAGGCCCAAGTTACACAGAAGAGGGCAAGGGATTGTGGGAGGGGAAAACCTATCAGAACTGTTTACAGCCTTCATGTAGATAAAGTGAATTTCTATCCTAACTTGGCACAACCAAGTACATAGCAAGGTGTGTTTTCATCCAAGTCTCCCCCCACCACCCAAATGCAGTACTAGGGATGGAACCCAGGGCCTTTGCTTGTTACACGAGTGCTCTGTCACTGGGCTACATCCCTAGTCGCCTGAAAATGTTTAGAGAGGTTTTTCTCTGATCTGGCCCTCCTTTGTCTGTGAAGGGTAGATTGGCAAGTTTAGTATTTGGGCCACCATCAGGACCCTACCCAGTTCTTGGGCTGACAGCCACTGACCTGAGGCTACTCCCTGAGAGCATGGTTCCCACCACAGCTGTGCATGCACAATCTGAAGTCTCCGAGGGAGCTGTGAAAACTCGCATGTCCTGCTACCACTCCACACTAATTACAATCAGACTTGGGTGGCTGGCCCAGATGTGAGGAGGATTTCCCTCAGGGGTTGGAGGGGATCAGTGGGCTCCACCCCAAAAGAAGTTGAGGAACAATTGCTTCTCGAGAGCCATTGTCCCAGACCCACAGCTGTCCCCTGGGCCATGCTAACTGTGTGTTAGAAGGAGGCTTTAATGGATGATGTCTTTAATCCTCGAAGCTGCTTTTGAGACCAATGTCATTCATTACCTGTGTTCACAGAGTGAGACGAGAGCTTAGCATACACCTGTGCAACAGGCAAGCTGCCTGGCCACAGGGGGCCTTCTCCCTAGTAACTTTTCTTTTTCTTTCTGGGTCTCCGTGGTGCAAGCCGGTCTGGAGCTAGCTGTGTGGCTGAGAATGCCATACCTATCTCTGGTCCACCTATCTCTGCCTCCTGAGTGCTGGGGTTGACAGGTGTGCACCAGTTTATGGGATGCCAGGAACTGAATCCAGGCCTCAAGCCTGATGCACAAGCTCAATACCACGGGGCTCTACCCTCTGATCTACACCTCCATCCCCTTGTTTAGAAGTGACAAATAGGATAAGGGTTATTAAAGCATCTAAGTGAATTTCTAGGGAGGACTGAATATTTTTTCAATCATCTCCTCTCTTTCCAAATCTAGAATTGACCCACAATTTTTTTTTAGTTGGAGACCAAGTCTGTACTGTTTTCTCACAACATGTTCTTCCTGGCTTCCTCCTCCCTCCCTGAATCCTCCCTGCTGCGTCTGAAATGCTGCTGAAAGTGACACATGCTTGGACCTCCTTCCCGGGGAAGCAGAATCTGAAAGTGACACATGCTTGGACCTCCTTCCCGGGGAAGCAGAATCCTCATTTATGCACCTATTTGGCAAATACATACTTAATTTCTTTTTAAAATATTATTTATTTTCTATCTTTAATTATGTGTATGTGTGTGGCAGTGGGTGGGGCTGTGTGCATGTGAATACAAGCGCCCACCGAGACAAAAAAGGGCATGAGCGCCCCAGGAGCTAGAGTTCCAGGAGGTTGTGAATATTCTTAACTGCTGAGCCATGTTGCCAGCCCCTAGTTTTTTCATTTCCAGAGAGAATGTGTCATTGGAGGAAGGGCTAGTTCCTTGTCATTACAGTACTGTCATTCATCCAGTGCCTACTGTGTACCCAGGACTTATCTGTCACTTGATAGGTATCAGGTCATGATCAGTGATCTAGTCCTCCCCCATGCCTGATGATTTCTTGGTTCTCAAGTTTCTCTCTTTCTTCCTCAAGACATCTCAAAGTTTGTCCTTCCAGGTAGAATATCACATGAGATGTGAGAAGTAGTTAAGGTATGGGGGGGGGGGGGGCGGCGGCTAAATATGTTTCATAGAAAATAACCCCGCTACCTAAAGTTTGTCATTTTCTTTTCAATTTCTTAGACAGGGCCTTTCTATGTAGTCCTGGCTGTCCTGGAACTCACTCTGTGGACCAAGATGGCCTGGAACTCACAGAGATCCTCCTGCCTCTGCCTCCCAGGTGCTGAGATTAAAGGTGTATGCCACCATGCCTGCCATAGCTTGTGATTTTAACAGGCAGTTTGAAATCTTCTCATATATCAATGCATATGGATTCCAGTGTTGCATTCCAACCTTATTCACTGAGCCGGGGTGATCTGTCCAGGCAGCTTGCTCTGTGGATCCTGTCTCTACCTTCTGTGGCTGGAATAGCAGTTGGGCTGTCACATTCACACAGCATTTACAGAGGGTTTGGGTGGAGGGTCTGAACTTAAGTTCTCACACTTGTTTGGCAAATGCTTTAGCCACGGAGCCATCCCCCTGGGCCTCTATTTTATTTATATTTAAGCAGAGTCATGCTATGTAGCCCTGGCTGACCTGGTACGTAGGCTAACATGGCGAATACTTTATCAGCTGAGACATCTCCCCACCCCGCCTCTGTTCAAATTTCTTACTTTCCTACAGTCACTGCTCAGTGACATCATGTGTAGTAATGTGTCATCTTACAGCAAAGGTCACATCCCCACAACTTTCCAAGCCTATGATTTTTAAACCCAAATTCAGACTCTGGAGATGGTGTTGTGTAGTTGACGCTGCTCAGTGGCCGTGTCCACAGAGTGGCACCACCAAGGGCTTTAGTGAGTGACTTCCTGAGACCTCTCCCCGACCCACTTCACTTCCCACTCATGTTTTTACCTCCTGGTAATAAAGGATGCTGAGAGGACTGAAGCGGGGAAGGCCATCCTTCTGGGGTGGGAACCAGTTTTTGGGTGAGGCCCAGGCTAGAACCTGATGTTGCTCCTCGGCCTGCCTCCAGATCCCTGCACACCCCCAGGCTGCTGGCCACACTTCAGACAGAGCCTCTGTGAGTGAAGAAAACAGATAAAGCAGAGGAATGATAAGGAGGCTATAAATTCCGAAAGTAAGCTTTCTGTCACTAGCCATGACAGATATGCTTTTTGTTTTCAGATGTGCTCATGGAGCAGGCAGACCAGTTTTCTTTCTTTTCAAGAACTTTCGAGGGGTTGTGCAATCACCATACCATCTTCACATGCTAGGTTTGATGTTAAAAGCTGTCAGGGAAGCCAGTGAAATGGCTTAGTAGGTGCTTGCTGTCAAGCCTAGCAACCCGAGTTCAATCCCCGGGCCCCACACGATGGAAGAGGAAGCTAAGTCCTGCAATTTATTCTCTGACCTTCACAGGAAGTGGCACACAAGCACCTGTGCACACACGGGGCAATAACAATAATTTTTTTTAAAAGACTGTCAGGATGCCGGGCGGTGGTGGCGCACGCCTTTAATCCCAGCACTCGGGAGGCAGAGCCAGGCGGATCTCTGTGAGTTCGAGGCCAGCCTGGGCTACCAAGTGAGTTCCAGGAGAGGCGCAAAGCTACACAGAGAGACCCTGTCTCGAAAAACCAAAAAAAAAAAAAAAAAAAAAAAAAAAAAACTGTCAGGAGCAAAGGGGTGTGCTCAAGCATGAGTTGGTCCTGGAACCCTCAACCTGGTCAATGGCCCTCCAAATGCATGCTGGAACAGGGAAAAGCATGGATGGAAAGGGAGGTTGGCTTTATCAACTCTTGCTACTGCTACCAGCTGACCAGCTTTTCTTCTCCTGTGAAGAGTAACACTGCAGGGGCTTCCAAGATGTCCCAGGCAGTAAAGCGCTTGCTTGCCTTGCAGAGTGAGGACCTGAGCTCTGTTGCCAGCAGCCATGTGGTCATGGTGCATATGTCTGTGACTCCAGTGCTAAGGAGAAAGAGATGCCTGGGGGTTTACTGGCCAGCCTACCCTACTTAATAAGCTCCAGGCCAGAGATAGATACTCTCTTTAAAGAAAAATAGGCTCAGTGGTGGGTAAAGTTCTTGCTGTGTACCTATCTAAAAGTAAAAGTCAGGTGCTTCAGAGGCAGTGCACATCAGTAACCTGAACAGTGAGTCCAGATTCAGCTAGATCCCTGAGGCTTCCTGACCAGCCAGCCTAGCCTAATCTGTCAGTTCCAGGCCAGTGAGAGATCCTGCACTAAAGGGGGCAGGGGTACTACTCAAAGTTTGACACCCAAGGTTGTCCTCTGGTCTCCACATACATACTGTACATCTGTGCACACTTGAACACACACATAAGAATAACATTATGTGAGCAATAAGAAGTGACTGTTCGCCGGGCAGTGGTGGCGCACGCCTTTAATCCCAGCACTCGGGAGGCAGAGCCAGGCAGATCTCTGTGAGTTCGAGGCCAGCCTGGGCTACCAAGTGAGTTCCAGGAAAGGCGCAAAGCTACACAGAGAAACCCTGTCTCGAAAAACCAAAAAAAAAAAAAAAAAAAAAAAAAAAAACAAAAGAAGTGACTGTTCTGGACTATTCGAAGGAAGGCTGTGTGTGTGAGAGACACTTAGATGATGTCACCAATATGGTAGGAAAATAAAGAGGACATAGCTTGTGTAAGTCAGGCCCCTGGTTAACCTGTGGCCTCTCTGTCATCCTGCAGGTGTCAGTAAAAACCAGCCATGTAAGGAAGGCTGCTCTTGCTCCTCCTGTTCACCCCGGGTCCCCACCATCAGCGACTTGCTCAATGATCAGGACTTGCTAGATGTGATCAGGATAAAGCTGGATCCGTGTCACCCGACCGTGAAGAACTGGAGGAATTTTGCCAGCAAATGGGGCATGCCCTATGACGAACTGTGCTTCCTGGAACAGAGGCCTCAGAGCCCCACACTGGCGTTCTTATTCCGAAACAGCCAGAGGACTGTGGTCCAACTGATGGAGCTCTGCCGACTTTACCACAGGGTTGATGTGGAGAAGATCCTGCGCAGGTGGGTGGATGAGGAGTGGCCCCACCGGGGACACTCGGACAGTTCCATGCACTTCTAGAATCACCTTCTGGCATTGGCCTTTCTGCTTGCTGGACCAGCACTCGTCACGGGGGATATGTACCTGCTCTCGAGATTTTCAGATGAGGATGTGGAATGGGCAGTGGCTCTCCCTGAAGCTGGTGGCTTGTGGAAGGATGGGTTCTGTTTCGGTGGCAGGTATTTGTTTCTTTTTGCACATCTGTTTTAATTTAATATTGGAACCTGGAATTGGGGAAGAATATTTTGTAGGTCGCGTAGAGCCAACGCCTATGGTTGGGACAGAACCGTGCCAGCATGAAAAGAAAATGACCCTCTCCTTAGGTACTGCTAAAGATTGCAGCGGGATCCCAAACTGTTGATGTCTCTGGACATGTCCATGTCATCCTATGCAGAACCCTTGCATTCCCAGCCTCGAAGAAGATGGCATGGAGAAGTCACCCTGGCCTGTTCACTGTTACTATTTCTGTCACAAAAGGTTTAGAAGATCAAGAGGATACTGTATGATGTGGCCCGGATACAAGGGCCATCTTTTTTATTCAAACACTTCTGTAATCTATGGGCTATTAGTACTGTCACTGGGTTTAGTATTTTTAAAAGAAATACAAAATTTCTGGTTTGTAGAGCAGCAGAATGGGTTGGTGTCATGGGAATGGCATTGACAAAGAATAGTACTTAATATTCCCTCTTGGGGGCTGGGGAGATGCTCAGTGGTTAAAATTCTCACTGCACAAGCATGAGGACCAGGGTTCAGGCCCCGAGAACCCATAGAAATGAGGAGATGTTGTGGCACCTGGGATTTCAGTGCTCAGAAGGGAGAGACAGGGATCCTCAGACGGAGCAAGCTGCCTAGCTAGGGCTAGTCAAATGGGTAAGCTCTGGGATCAACTGAGAGACTCTTTTTCCACACACAATGTAGAGATCAAGTGAAGAAAAACATCAACATCAGCTTTGGGACTCTGTATGCACACATGCACATGTGTTACACATGCAACAAACACAAATCACACACGTGCATGTGCATCTGCATATACATGCAACAACAACACACACACACACACACACAAATCTTTCTAAATGCCATTTGGGGAGGCTGAGGACATGGGTCAATGAGTAAAGTGCTTGGCTTATCAGTACGAGGACCTGAGTTCAGTCACCAGCACCGCCGTAAAAACCAGACATGGCAGCATGTGCCTGTAACCCCAGCACTAGAGAACCAGATCCAGGAACTCACTGGACAGCCAACATAGCCAGACTGGGAAAGCCACTGTCTCAAAAAGGAAGGTCAATGTGAAGAGTGATTGAGGAAGATACCTAAGGTCAGCCTCTGACCTGTGCGCACACACGCACACACACACACACACACACACACACACACACACACACGCACACACACACACACACACACACACACACACACACACATACACACACTTTTGTTATCCATTTATCCATGCCTCTTTTTTTGGTGCTAGGGATGGAACTGAGGACCTTGAACATGTTCAGCCTGCACTCTACCACTGAGCTACACCTGCACTCCTGTTATTCATGATTTTTTTATTCTTCTCTCATACACTACACCCCAATTGCAGTTACACCTACCTCCGCTCCTCCCAGTTCCTCTCCACGCATATCTCCTCTCCCCCTAGATCCACTCCTCCTCCATTTCCCTTCAAAAAAGAGCAGGCCTCCCAGGGATATCAACCAAACACGGCATAACGAGATACAATAAGACTAGGCACAAACCCTCATTATCAAGGCTGGTTTTTATTTTTATGTGAGCTCACCAAAATCCCAGTGCTGGAAAAGTAGAGACAAGCCGATCCCTGGGGCTCACCTGCCAACCAGCCTTGCTTATGTGGTGAACTACAAGCTGGTGAGAAATCCTGTCGCAAAAAACAAGGTAAACAGTGTCCCAGGAGCAACATCAGAGGTTGTCCTCTGGCTTCTACATGCACATGTACACACAAGCTCACAGACCCATACACATATACCCTAATTAAAACAAACAAAAAGGAAGGATAGCATTGACTGCATAGGACAGAGATACTAAGATGAACTTAAAAGAAGGTGATTTTTAAGCTACCATTTTTTTTTCTCATAGCAATTACGTTTTTCCTCAGGTTGTTGGTAAGTAAAGTCAGCTTCTCACCCAGTGTGACCTCAAAGCAGCCCATGAGGCTTGTCCATCACTTCTGCTTCACTAGTAATCACATCCTACACCTTCCATACTCAGATTTATCACAGTTATGGCCACCTTATTGCCCGATGTATTTAAAGTGACGGCTAGTGATCAAATGTGGACGTTGTGTTTTTCAGATTTATTTTATTTTATGAATGTTTTTCTTGCATGTTTGTCTGTGCACAGGCATGCATGGTGCCTGCCGAGGTCAGAAGAGGGTACCCTAGGTACCCTAGACCTGGAATTACAGAAGCTTTTCAGCCTCCACGTGGGTGCTGGGAACTCAACTTCTGCAAGAGCCACTTTTAACTGTGAGCCCATCTCCCCAACCCCTAAAGGCAGATGTTTTAAAAATAGCCTCTCGGGCCGGGCGTTGGTGGCGCACGCCTTTAATCCCAGCACTCGGGAGGCAGAGCCAGGCGGATCTCTGTGAGTTCGAGGCCAGCCTGGGCTACCAAGTGAGTTCCAGGAAAGGCGCAAAGCTACACAGAGAAACCCTGTCTCGAAAAACCAAAAAAAAAAAAAAAAAAAAAAAAAAAAATAGCCTCTCGGGAAAATCAGATGTTATGTGCATCATGGGCAGAACTTGCTAGGGGATGTTCTGTCCTTTCACAGATGTGATTGGTTGCCTAGCTTTCTCATTAAGCTGTCCATGATGTGCTCTGGCTAGTCTCGCAGAACCTCCTAGCCAAAGCTACTCTCAAACTCACTGTGCAGCAGAGGATGACCTCACATTTCTGATTTGCCTGCCTCTGTCTTTCAAGTGCTGGGCCACCACATCCGGTTTTGCTCTCATTTCTTAGAGCAGAAGCAACCGTAGGGAATGAGAGGGGCTTTGGAAATCACTTCGCAGGAAATGTAACTCGGCGGGTGAGGCTCAGAGGTAGAGGATGCTGGAACATTAGGAGATGTCAGCCCTAGCTTCCCGGTGTACCCTAGAACCCCCAAAGGATGAAAGGAGTAGCTCCCAGGCTGACATGTGTCTTGTTGACACTGTCTAGCCAGATGTTCCCAGAAAGCCCCTTCCTTCCCATCTCCACCAAGCAGACTTGTCACTTTGGCCCAATTTGTGACCATCCCAGAGGCATTGGTGGAGGGGGATTCCCCCATTCTGTTCCATTTCATCAGCCTGCTCCCCCGTACCGTACCCCTCCTCCGAGCCTGCCTTTCCCACACACAGAGAAAAGAAGGGAGAGGAGGAACTCCGGGTGGATGAGCGGTGCCTCGGCAGAAGGCCCAGGGAGGAAGGGCATGAGTTAGCTCCCGTCTCTCTGTTCATGTCCTCTGCTCAGTAGAACCCCTGCTCCACCTAGAGCCTCAGGCCAATCTCTACGACTTGGAACACAGCAGCTGAAATGATGGCTTCCAACTCCCTCCCATGGGCCACAGTGGCAAAAATGATTAAAACTTAAAAATCTTCCTAATGGTACTGTTTTTTAAACCAAAAACTGAGATGAAAAATCCTGCCCATTAAAATCCCCACAAGTTGATTCATGATGATTAGAGTTTCAGATAGCCCAGATTCTCCTCAAACTTAATATGTAGCTGAGGCTGGCCTTGAAGTTATGATCCTCCTGAATTCACCTCCTGAGTGTTAGGGTTGTGGGGATGTGTCACCATGGTCAGCCAAACTTGAGTCCTCACCACAAACTCCCAGAGTGAATATTTTTCATGACCGGCCTGGGACAGCCGATCCTCTGGACCATCATTTCACAGGAAGTGTCCCCAGCACTTCAGCCTCCAGGGACTTGTCAGGCTGCATCTCTAGAACACAGCTGTGCTTGCAATTGTCCACTGAACTTGCCTTTCTACAGTTGGATCAAAATTGTCAGGCAGGGCTGGAGAGATGGTTCAGCAGTTAGGAGTGCTTGCTGCTCTTTCAGAGGACCTGGGTTCAATTCCAAGCACCCACATGGGGTGGCTCACAATTGCCTATGACACCAGCTCCTGGGGAATCTGACACCCTCTTTTAGCCTCTAAGGGCACCCACACACATGGCATACACACACACACACACACACACACACACACACACAAAGTAAATCTCTAAGGGCACCCACACACATGGCATACACACACACACACACACACACACACACACACACAAAGTAAATCTCTAAGGGCACCCACACACATGGCATACACACACACACACACACACACACACACACACACACACACACACACACAAAGTAAATCTCATTCCCAGCTATGGCTGGGAATGTAGCTCTGTTGGGAGAGTGCTTACCTCGCTTGCCCAAAGCCCTGGGTTTGATCTTCAGCACTGCATAAACTGGTGTGTGGTGCTACATGCCTGCATTTCCAACTCCTGGAAGTGGAAGCAGAGGATCAGAAGTTCATAGTCATCCCCAGCTACAAAATGAGTTCGGGGCCAGCCTTGACTGTATGAGACCCTGCTTCATAAACAAAACAAACTGTCATGTAAGCCACGTGTGGTGGGGTTCATGACTGCCACCCAGCATTTATCTTGTGAGAATTTTTAATTATTAGGAGCATGGTATCAGCAAAGAGAAATTTACTGAACGGTTTCTTCAAGTTCATTCTGACTCTAAATGTAAAATGACTTTGATCTGTGTTGCATAAAGAAAGCCAGGAAGTATTCTCAGCTGACGTAGTCTCAGCTTATTTAAAGTTAACTTATGGCCAATGAGTTCTACAGAAGCATAAATACTCTGGTACTTCACAGAGGTGAGAGCAGGGAGGAAGGAGGTCATTTTATGACCGACCAATTAAATGATTATTGAAAGCTTAGTCGTCACTTTTTAAATATTTATTTTTTTTTGTTATTTTTGGTTACGTGTCTGGGTGTGAGTATGTGCACATGAGTACAGGGGTTCGTGGAGACCAGAGGTGTCAGAGCCCCTGGAGCTGGGGTTACAGGTGCTTGTGAGTTGCCAGATGTGGGTGTTGGGAACTGAAGTGAAGTCCTCTAACGAGCAGGAGGAGCTCTTAACTGATGAGCCATTTCTCCACCCCATCACCATTAACCCAGAAGACCTTTCCATCCTGGGAACCTGTGTTAAGGTGAACACGATAGAAGCTGCATGGGGTAAGGTTGTTTTCCTATTATAATGCTGAAATCCCCTTAGCTATGTTTCCAAAAATATGTTTCTTTAAGCAAAACTTCCGTCTGTAATGGTCTGTGATGAGGCCATATATAATGTACATTTTATGTGGTTGCAATAGTGAAGAGTCAAATGAAAGGGAAGGACTCAGAGCCACATGGACAGCCGTACATCCCGGGACAGATTACACACTTCTGGACACGCACACCGGTGAAGGCAGACAAAAACAGGGCATGCAATATTAGCATGGTGGGGTTTTAACTAGTTCCGGCCTGCAGATGTGCTGAGATGTCCCACTTGTGCCTCTAAAAGACCCTGTACAGCCACCTACTTCTGTAGCCCTGAATAGTAAAACTCAGTAACACAGGAGATCTGGCCAAAGACCGTGTGGTTCATCCTGAACAGTAGTTTTTTTTAATATCGTGCTGCCCCCTGCTGGAGGATACACTCTAAATCGGTTTCCTATTAGAGTCTGGCTTCGTTAGGCACCTTCCCAGCAGCCCTACTAAGAGAGAGAAAGGGTATGATTGCTCTGTGACTTGGCACACATAGACACTCCAAGGGTGACATGGCTGAGATGGAGGCTCCTGGATCCAGGATGTGCGCAGCACAGTGGCTGCAGAAGAGTCCCGTGGCCTGGTAATCACTATCGGCACTTAGGTGGACTGGTCTCCACAGGGATTGAAGGTACAGCTGTGTCTGTTAGCTCCCTTTCTCTCCCAGTTTAGCCCGAGGATGCCACAATGCGGTGGTCTCCCGCTCACCTGTCTTCAACCATCTACATTACAAAAAGACGTGCTTCTAAAGACAGGATTAATAACAAGGCGGAACAGATTTTTCTCTTCTATCCTCTCTTTTTTAGGCGATTAAACAGATCTCATTTGGTCTTGAGCAAAGAATTTCTTTTCTCCATTCTTTTTTAAATCAATCCTGTTGTTCCTGCTTTAAAAGTTTCCTCCCATTTGAGGCTATGATGCTGTTGCCTGTGCCACATGGTCAGCGCCGCTCACACATGCGTATCTCAAATCACCTTCCCCCACTGGCCAACGGTGTTCGCCCTCTGAGCTGGCAGCAAACATCTGCTCCATGTTCTCGTGTACACGCAGAAACAACAGTGCTGTGGGCCTAGCAACGCCAAACCACTCTCTGCTCTGGGTGCTACAAAACCAAAGACTGAGACAGTTCTCACAACAAAAGGCACACATCTTCAGAGGGCACACACCGACATACGCCCAAGGTGGTGACTGAGAAATATTTGCCATCTCATTGCTGCCTGGGACTCAGACCCCACCCTGGGATTCCTGGGTACTTGGTTATCAATGCACAAGGAAGGGTGAGTCTTGTCTCTATGGTATTTAGAGAGAATCAAAGCCAAGATGCTGGGCCAGGTGCCGGGGCTACTGAAGTCTCAGCACTGGTGGATGGAGCTCCTGTGGGTACCCAAGACCTAGACTTGAAGGACCCTGGTGGAGCAAGGCCTGCTGTCTTCCTTCCTGTGGCTCTGGAGGGGAGTGTCTCTGGGAATTCTGTCTGGCAGGGGATCCCCAGGTGATCAGGTGATCTGAAGGGACTAAAGTAGTCACTGATACAACTGGAAATGAAATGATAAAATCAGTCAGCTCTCTTGGGGATATAAGGAAGAAGCACCTCAATACTTCCTGGGTGCTCCGTGCTCTTCCATTCTGTGTGACAGTCCAGTGACCACTGTCTTCTGCAGCACCCCCTTGGGAACTTATACAAGACATTTCGGCCTGAGGAGGTCAAGCTTCTGAGATCCCTGTGTCCCTGGATACCATCTATATACCTTGGTACTAGCCTTTTGACTCTGTCTAGATTTTCATCTTCTGTATGATTCTGTTTTTCTTATGAATAAGGAAAGATTTTTATAACTGTAATAATGGGTGCTACAAAATTAAAGACTGGTGTCAACTGCTGTTCCAGTAGATGCCTCATTTTTTAATGTGTATGTGTTTCTGGGAAGGGGGTGTTCTGCACGTGTGTGTTTGCATGTAGAGAGGCTGGAGGACAACCTTGAGTGTCAGTCAGCCTCACAAATGCACACCATCACCTCCTTTGAGACAGGGTCTCTCCTTGGCCTGGAACTCACAAATTAGGCCAAGATAGCTGGCTAGTAAGCCCAAGAGATCTTCCTGTCTCTGCCCCACCAGCGTGAGAATAACAAGTGTATGCCACAATGCCCAGCATTTCTACATGGGTGATGGGGATCAAACTCAGGTCCTCATGGTCAGACAAGAAGCACTTTACTGACTGAGCCATCCCTTAAGACCTACTTTGTGCAGATTCCAGTGTGGTCATCGGCTCACGTCTTGTTAGACCCATCATCCATTACTTGAACACCCAGTGCTTTTCTGAAATGTGTCCCAGATGCTGGAGATGCTAAGATAAACAACACAGCCCTTCTCTCCAAGAGCTGTAGACAGACTCAC